GGAACTTTGACGCCTGAACACAGAGGAGACTGCTGGGTCAACAGCCTCTTATGGTGTTGTGTGTTTGTTTGCACAGCGACGTCCTCTGTCTCTGCACTTTCACCAATCACAATGGCCTCATGATTTATGAGATATGACTGGAGCAGAGCTGAGGTGGAGATGTGATGCCAGGACCTGATGGACCTGCTGGGGGCACATCAGGATGGAAATGAGGCTGTGAGGACCAGCCAGGGCTTTTGTCTGGAAACTTCACTTGTTTGTTTAAGCCGAGGCCGAGGCAGGAAGCCGACCCACACGACTCTGCCGCGTCCATGGCAACCGCACTGTTAATGATGGCACATCCACTCCCGGAGTCTTTTCAGTGGAGCAGAGAGGTGGAGACTGCTGAGAGCTGGACCAGGGAGCACAGAAAGACGTGTGCGTGTGTGTTTGTTTCTATGGTGGTGGGGATTCAGTTTGGGTGTTTTGAAGACATTTTGATCGGCCCTCACATTTTCAACAAAGGCCTTTCCTGAGGGTCTTGGCGTGGATTTTTGGGGGTCGGACTTTATGAACTGTACAAAAATAGACGTAGTGAAGTGGACGCAAAAAAAAAAAAGTTGGATTTTTTATATCAATGTTGTAATATAAATGCCCAGTTAGAGGTAAGACAGAGAAAAAGTTAGCTGAAATAGAAGCTTAAAGTTAGCCCAAAGTAGCTAGGTTTTCAAAGTGATAAACAAACAAAGATGAGCATAAAAAAAATAGATTCTAGTTACCCAGGAAATAGAAATGTATGAAAAAAGAAAATAGTTAAAAGCTAAGGGAGAGAGAACTTAGCTCTGATATTTAACCTATCAGAAAACTACAGCACAACACAAAAAATAATGGATATTGACCGAAAGTTATCTAAAAGTTAGCCGAAACGTGCTTAAAAGACATTTAAAAACTAGTTCATTTTAACAGAAATTAAGTTCAGATATAGTAAATGCATGGCAGCTAAAGTTAGCACATATAAATCTAAAACTTTGTCCAGAAAATGGTAAAACACTGGAGGAAAATGAGTGGAAAACCTACAACAGAAACACATTTTGTCATAACCCGTGGTCTAGTCCCAACTTAAAAATGCCAGAAATTACCAAAAAAAAAAGGAACAAAATATTACTTTTCCAAAAAAAACAAAACTCCCCAAAACACCTCAAAATGCATTTTTCCTAACAATGCTAAAGGTTAAAAAAAAGGGAAAAAGTAAATAAAACGTTGAACAGCACATTAACCAAGCAGACATGCAGCTTTGGTTTCTGTCTTATACATTAACCAAACAGACATGCAGCTTTGGTTTCTGTCTTATTTCTGGAGACTCACATTGATGTTCCTGCCTCCTCGGTGCCACAGGACGGCTTTACTGACAAAGGACACATAAGGAGGACTCTGCAAAAAACAAAGAAAAGAAGCCAAATGAGTCTAAAAGTGATATTGATTTGAAGAAAAAAGAGGAGGCGAGATTTAATAACAGATCCGTCAAAGGCAGATTGAGATTGATCGGAGCAGGGCGTTCTCACATGAAGTGTCTGAGGACAATGAGTGAGGCCTGACAAAACAAACACAAAGAGAAGACACACAGCGAGTGGTCTCTCCAGAGACTCTTTTAAAAGTCCCCACCAGTTCATCTATAACTGCTCCGTCTTCACTGCTCTGCCTCCAGTGGTCAGAAGCTGATGTTCTCCCACACAGCCCCTTCCCCACATCTGCTCCCTTGACAAAACATCTTTTTCATCTCTTTTCTTCTTAACATGTCGCTTCTTCAGGGACAGTATGGTGGTCTTATGGTCCCGTCAGCTTGACCCTCGGCTCAAGGGGCCGCTGTGTTAGCTCATCAATCAAGCGGTCAGAAACCCTGCGGTCCGCTCACCGCCTCATCCATCTCTCTCTTTTTGAACTGCTGGCAGCTTCCAGAAGCACTGAGTCGGCTCCGTAACTGCTCCACTGCAGGAAAAGCACCGGAGCAGATCCTCCCGGGGATCACCCTCTAATTCAGGGTCTGTAACCCCACACCAGAGAGGGCAGCAGGGGGCAAAATGGGCCAGAACAATGGAGGAACAATGGAGTTTGACGTCCATGTACGTGCGCGTTTCCTCCGTTCTTTGGAGAGCGCTGGTGTGGAGCTTCTAACCTGCGCGTGCCAGAACCTTCAAAGACCAGCTCCACCATAGACTCCAGAGGCCAACGTGGGTTCATGCCATTGTGACGTGAACAAAGCACGATTCTGGAAGTGAGGTCAGAAACTGCTCCTCGTTCATAGCAGTCAGACATTTCGTGCAGAATAACGACATCAGGCAGGAATAGAAGAACTGGTCTTGTTATCAGAGGGCTGAGGATCAGGGACAGGAGCCAAGAGTTGACAGGTGGAAGACGTTCAAACTCAACCAAAAATAATCAAATAATAGAATTTAAAAAAACACAACTTGTCTTAGACTTAATAAGGCTAAGAATGCACGAGAGTGAGATTTTCACCAGATTTTATTCTGATTTTTTCTTTTTTTTTGTTCCACAAAAATAGAGAAAATTGGGAAATGTGAATACCCCAGCTAGAAAAAGTCCACTCTGGAATCTAAACATTCTGATTTTTTTTTATTCTAATTTCCAGAAGGGAACTCACAAGGAACTAAAAAAGATCCATCCATCCATCCATCCATCCATCCATCCATCCATCCATCTACCATATGTACCAATGGAGTAAGTCAGGTGCCACCTGTGGTGTGGGTACCATAGTTTGAGAACCACAGTTTTAAGGTCACCTGCTGCTACATCTTAACATCAGTGACTAATAAAGACAGTGAAGTCTGATTGTTGTCTTGTTTTATCAAAGCTACGTCTTCACCTGACGATGACCTCATAACATGACTAAAAGGTCAAGTTATTTTTTGACGTTCAAGCTTGACCTTAATCCTTCAAGTAAATGTGCATCAACCCAGGACCTCCCTCTCCTCCAGGTGTCGTGGTTTCACCCATCATACATCACAGAGGACTCGACTAAAGTGACCTCTGCTCTTCTTCTCCCTGTTCAATGAACATGATGAGATTAGCCACATTCCTGCCAGATGGGCTTTCCACACAACGTTCGTGAAGAACACGTGGGTCTTCCACACAAACCCCACCCTCAAAGAACTTCCTGTCGGATCCACCGGCTTTGTACAGTAGAACGTGGGCGGAAGCCGAGAGGACAGGAAGCGCTGTGCTGCCGATCGGAGCCAGCAGGGGGAAATGTGACCCAATGACGGGGTGTCTATTAATAATGAGTAGGTGGAAAGGACCAGATCAAATTACCAATTTGAAGCTAATAACTAAAGTGGTGGCTGGTCTTTGCTTTATCCCCTCTCTCCCACTGTCTCTCTGGTGTCTCCCGTCTCCATCTGTCCGTCTTTCTCGAGGGAGGACTTCCTTCGTTTGCTTCCCAGGCCTCGCTCTGGATACTTTATTAATTTGGTTTCACCCGATTACTCCTTATCTGTCAGTCAGGCAGCATTAAAAGGCATTTTATCAAGGTCTATTTGTGGAAGCAGACGCAGAGCAAGGATCTGCAGCCTCCTGGTGAGGTCAGCACCAGCCATCTTTAAACTCTCTCTCTCATTGGCCAACATTTAGACATTAGTGGGGTCATGTTTACAAAGATGTAGCAGTGAAGCTACAGCTAGGAACTACAGGAAGGGAGTACGAGGACGATCAGCAAAGATCATGTGAGGATAATGTGAACATTCTTTCAACAGGCAAGCCTCCTGTTGGTGAGAAAACTGTCAAAACTGTTGTTTTTGTCTCTTAATGGAGCCTGGCTTTTCACCTGGGGGGGGGGGGGGCGGGTTGGGGGGGGGGGGTTCAAATCTCAGACGAACCATCAGAATGGTATTGACAACAGGAATCAGATCATCACAGGGCGGTTTGTTTAACAGACCTCTAAAGAAACGCAACACATTCCTGGAGAATCCCTGCCCCGGTGGCCTATAGTGGTACTGCATCTGAAAGATCCAATCCACTTTGTCAAAAGAATCCGTTTCTAATGAACTGGATACAAAGTCGAAATATTTTGAGCATTTCAGCCAATAGGACATTAACCAAGACCTGCAGGTGACCACTGGTGACGTTGGAACCTTGGATTATTGAAGCTAAAACTCCCTCATACATAATAACCCCCCCCCCAAAAAAAGAAATTAATCTGAAATTTTGGAACATTATGATTTCCCTTGGACTTCTATAACCACGATCCGCCTAACATCCTCTGGTAAAACTCCCAACACGGAGACGTTCAGCCCATTATTATTGAAACAAAGAGGCAACACTGTCTCTCGAGCAGAGACAAGACATTAAAAGCTCTCGGCAGGAAGTCAACAATGCAGCACAACACAAACGGATGAGGAGATGCAGCCCAGAAGACAATCGAGCCGACGGACGAGCCATCAATGGCCAACAAAAGAGGAAGCTGACCACCTCAGCAGGTCTGTGGACAGGTTAGCGCCCTGCTCAGACTGAGAAAGAGAAAGGCCGGGGTCAGCTATAATGAGGCATGAATGTGAGGGTCCCAACAATCCTGTTTAATGGGTTTCATCCCTGGAAAGGTTTCTGTCCGGCCTACATGTCCTCCGGTGTTGGTGCCTGTGTCTTCATATTGGGCTGTGGGTCAGGAGGTGCTGTAGGGACTCTGTGACCCTGAAATGAGCTCCAGGAGACAGTGGTGTCCCCGCTGGCAGGACAGAGCTTCTTTTATGTCCTAATCTTAAAGCCAGGAGGATCAATATGGCAACAATTGCCGCGGGGATGCTGCCATTTCTGACGTCTCACAGGGAGGTTGGCGACGCAAACCTTACAAAAGCAGGAAAACCTGCTGCCACCGGCCGACACAAAGACCTGGCTAACCTACTTAACATTCATTAGTGTCAGAGAGGTGGACAGATGCTGCAGGATTTCACCCATCTTCTCTCACATGTCCTCACCTCGGGGTTCATTCTGGAGCATTTGATGAGTCTTTCATTGGGTATGATAGGAATGATGGACGTCAGCTGTGGGTTTATGAAGAGCTTGGGTGGGCACGGATAGATGGACTCACCCCGAGAGCTCGCTGTGCAGAACGAGAGCCGTCAGGAGGCCAGGTGCTCCTGCTGACGGGAGGCCTGGACCGAGGCAGGGGTCTCAAAGGAGGGTTGAAACCCCTGATCCTGGAGCAGCTCCTCCTCGTCGCCCCCCGGATCCTGGAGCAGCTCCTCCTCGTCGCCCAGTGAGGCTCTGGAACTCCTCTTCTGTCAAAAGCAGACATGAGCGATAAACTCCTGAAATCGTCCTTCATTCAAGAATCATTGATCAGAGTTTGCTGCTGTAGCGCTTCAGTCTGTGGAGCTGAATAACTCCGGCACTTCTTCTCCGTGGGAGGCTGAAAAAATGCAGTCCATTCAAACACAGCTTTGCTGGTTAATAATTACCACGCTGCTAAAGTGATACAACAGTCACTGGAGTGAATGGTTTCCTTCACAGCTATTGTCCATGTGGGCCAACAACAGGAAATGTTACATTTGTAATTTTAGCTTTTAGCTAGATATTGATTTGTCACCTTGGAGGAGTCACCTGAGGTTTAAGCAATCTTATGATTTCTTTTTTCATTTTAAGTTAATTTTAAGTTTTTGAATTTTTTTAGAAATATTCTAAGCATTTTCTTCAGTCTTTTGGGCTAAATCCACTGAGAATTTATTATCAAATTGAACAATCAAACTGAACTGCAGATATCCTTTAGAACAGCGGTGCCAGACATACGGCACGTGGGCCAAAGTCAGCCCGCTTGGTTTTTCTATCCGGCCCGCTTGATGAATTTTGAAAATAAATAAATAACTAAACACTTCATGTTCAGGAAATATTTTGTACAATTATATTTCATTACATATGAAGATTTTTCTAATGTAGTTTTTGCATGAAAACAAAGGGGGAAGAGAAGGACTTTTTGTTATTTATAGGTAATTATGTTATGACTGTACCGGTCCGGCCAGTTTGACATCTAGTCAGGTTGTATGTGGCCCCTGAACCATGAGTTTGACAGCCCTTTAGGCTTTAGGCTAATAATTGAATTTTTGAATTGGTTAACTTTTAGCTTTTCTTTCTTTGGTCTAGTACAGCTTTAGTTTTTGCACCGGTGCTCAGTC